AATAAAAAAAAAAAAAAAAAAAATTTTTTTTTTTCCCCCCCCCCCCCCCCCCCCCCACAGGTCTGTGCATTTCTAGGTGTTAACACTTGTCCTTTTAGTCCTTTCAAAACTGCTCTGTTTATACGCTTTTAAGCCTTTTACACATACATTCAGAAATTTGAATGCCTTTTATGGTGAAATTTTAATGAGATTTTTGTCAAAAACCTGTAAAATGTTCCCATTTTGCCCTACAAGGAGAGGTGCGTGTAGTGTTGTACAGTAATACACTGAAGGTTTCAATTAGCCTTCAGTTAGCCTTTCACACACACACTGTGTTATCACACATTTTTAAATTTAGTCATTTCACCAGCTGAATTTTAGTCGATACTTGCAGGTTCACAAGGCATTATAACTTAATCCCGGCACTGACTGCAACACAATGAGTTATTTTGCTTAGGTTTTATGTTTTTATCAGTAATCACTGTAATTTGATAAAGGCATATTGATGTGGACTAGAAAGAATTAGTTGTGCATGTTGTAGATTATAGACCTCAGCCATCCATGAATAGCTAAAGTCAGCAGATGCTTCAGATCCCCACCACCCTCCACCCAAAAAAAAAAAAAAATGTGTGCAGGCCCGTTTTAACAATTCAAACACCAAAAATACTCCGATATGTATTAATATGCACAGTAGAAGTTGTCTTAGAACACCCGCAGAAGCTCATGTTTGCAGTTTTCCATATCTCCACTCTTGGGGGTACAACCAATCACCGCCAAGGAAAATGAATGCTGCTCCAGGATTGGTTGCCTTGCAGAACCAGCCAAAAGCATGTGAAGTGGAACTGCAAAATATTTCACCTTCCCAGGCTGCATTTTCTTTCCAATATTTCAAATATGCTCTATGAAAAAATCTGTAAGTAGGCTTGCTTTCCACAAATACTGAATTGTGAATAGGTTGGGGTCCACTCTATTATTTCCCATCCATCCATCCATCCATCCATCCATCCATCCATCCATCCATCCATCCATCCATCCATCCATCCATCCATCCATCCATCCATCCATTTATTTATTTATAGATGTAATTTACAGATGATGGAAACGGAGGGTAAAATAATGAAATAATCCACATGCTCTCTCAGCCCTTTGCAGGACACTTTAGTCTCCCTTTTACCAGCCATGTTTATTTTAACCTGCAGGTCAGAGTGAACTGAAACTTGAATGTTGCAGGAGCTTTTACATTTTACAGCCAGACAGAAGTGTGGCTCTACCGTCCCTCTGCGACTCCCCGTTTCATCCCAAGCCTTTATCGCTCTCCCTTTCCCAGTTCACTCTCTCACCATCTATCTGTGTCCCTCCAGCTTTTCATCTGCATTCTTCCTCTTTCACCTCCTTCACCCCACTGCCACCTTTTTAATTCTCTCGCCTCTGCGCTCTTTAAAGGATCCTTCAACGCTGCCCCCTTTTCTGTGTGCCCTCTGTCTGAGTGGCCCTATTGCGTTGTCTCTGTACAACGGCGTGCCGTCTGTTAGCGCTGCTCCGACATCATGGCTGCAGCAACTTGGCTATAAATAACTCAGTCTCACAGTGTTCAGTCCAAGACGAGACCAAGAGCCAGAGGGAGAGCAATCTGCTGTCTCCCTCAAGTTATGCTGGAAGGTGCAAATGAGACAGTTGACACTGCGCAACCTTCAGACCAAGACCTTTGTCATTTGTGCTGCACAAAGTGCTTCTGAATTTAATCATTCTACTCAGACTAGTTGTAATACCGCAGTTTTTATGAGATTTCTATTCATCCTCAGCACCTGTGGTGCTTTCTGACGGTTTGATTGATGACGGGGTCAGTGTTGTCACAGTTCACACTTAACAGTTCAGTTCATACAGGTAAAAACTAAATGATGTTCAAAGTTTACCACCTTAAAATGAACACTAACCTCATTTATTCATCAAATTTTTATTAAAACGTTTTTGTTTTTTTTGTTTTTTTTGTTTTTTTTAAACATAAACTTGTTAACAGACCATCTGTGTCATTAGATAGCATCTGCAACCTGGCCTATTGCTGTTTATTCACAGCTGCTTGATTCTATTCTATTCCACATAAAGTGTATTTTAATATGACCAGATGGTTAATAAAGTTCTCCAAGAAAAAAAAAAGAAACATTTTTTTTTTCTCCTTTTACATTTTGGTCTAACTCTAACTTTTATACAATGCACATGATGTTACTTTAACAAAAAATAAAAAATAAAAAGTCAAATAAGCTGACTGGGAAGCACATACAAAAATGTGTGCATTTTTCTGTTTTAATTCTGAGAAAGCAACATTTGTCTGAAATTGTGTTTAAAAACATAAAAAAGGGGTACAGTACAAGTCAGTTTTGATTTTTAGGGCTTAAGTATTTGGTTAATATTGGTTTTGAAGAGTCATACTGTACTTTAATAATCTGACATTCATCAGAAACTAAGCTGACCTCTTTCAAGTCATTTTACATCTATGAGTGCCACACAGTGGCATACAAAACAAAGGTACCTACTGAGTTAAAATTGGTGCCTAATTAAAGAGATAATAAAGCCTGTGCAATTCCAGCAAAATAAACATCTACCTTAATTAAGTCTACCAATAAATACATGTAGCCAACAAATGAAAGCAAGAGCTATGGTTGTAAAGGAACCAACTAAGCATCAGATGTGTTATATAGTAGTGCTGGAGAACTGGTGTTATCAAGGCCATTGATTGTGTCTATGATATCATGGATTGAAAATCACAAATGGTAAAAGTCTTACATAGCACTTTATCAAATTTGTTGCGTTTTACACAACAATCAGTCGTTCATCCATTCATACACACATCCTCTGATGCCAGAGGTAAGCCCCAGAGATGGTAAACTACAGCTGCCTCTGGGGCAGAATAACAGAGGCAAAGCTGCTGCACATTCTGAGCTGCTGGGCCCTTTGACCATCACCAGTGAGCAAGGCGGGGGAAGTGCCTTCCCCAACGACAGAGTGAAGGTTCAAATAGGCAACCCACTGGTTACAGGGAGCCAGTTATAACCTTCCGTCACTTTTTTTTTCGCTTTGTTTTCAGACCTGCTCTCGGTTTGGGCGTGGGAACTTGTGGACAGATGCTACTACATCGAGCCTTGATGCCTTAAGCTAGCTGTCACCCAAAATAACATCACTCTGTTTCGTCCTCTCAGGGTTTTGTTGACAAAGAAGCTGGAAAGGATTGCTTGTGATGTTTCAGTGGTAATCGTTTTTAGACTTGGGACAGTCTTGTTTTTAGTGTAGCATGAGGCGGATTGAGATTTTCTAGTCTTGGACATATGGGATATATAGCACCGCACATATTGCAATTGCACAGTCCATTAGCTTTCATTCTGTTTCTTTGCCTCTCTGACAGAGATGACAAGCCTCCCGTCCTTTCTTGGCTAACATCCTGTACTTTAAACATTATGTGTCTTTCTGCACTTAAACAGAAAAAAATAATCTCCTTTAAAGTATGTGTTCTTTTGAAAGGTACCGTTTCCCCGAAAAAAAAAGCTTAATGTAACTTGAAGAAACTGAATTTGCATTAATCTCCCTGTGGGTTTGCTCATTTTTTCGTCTGTTTTATTGCAGTACAGTCTAAAAGGATCTTGTATATGTGTTGCTTCTCTCAGGTGACAGTAACCCCAAAGAGAGCAGCCCCTTCATCAACAGCAGTGAAGCTGCCGCTGAAAAGAGCCAGCAATATGATGGCAAGAACATGGCCTTGTTTGAGGTAAAATCTACTCTGTGCAGACACACTAACACACTCAGAAGTTTAATACACATGTTCAGCATTGACTCTTGGATGCAGGATTTACTCATTCTCACTATTTAGTTTTTGAAAAGGGCCCCTGACATCGATTAATGAGGGTAGTTATTGTGTGAAGGGCATATGGGAACCTTGTGTTAATACAAGTGACTCTTACACTGCTACAGGAAAGAGCCTAAACAATGCAATTTACCACAGCCTTGCACAAATGTATTTACAATCTGCTCTCAGTGGGATTCTGGATCTAATAAGGAACATGGTGTGAGTTCTTTCTCTTGCTCTTGGAAAGATGACCCAGGAATCAATCAAGTCAGCAGTTATACACCATTGATTAATAGAATCTCCACACCACTGCTAACTAATGGTATCCATGTATTGGTGTCTCTACAGGAGGAGATGGACACCAGTCCTATGGTGTCGTCTCTTCTCAGCAGCCTGGCCAACTACTCCAACCTTCCCCAAGGCTGCAAGGAGCACGAGGAGGCTGAGAACAATGAGGCAGAGTCAGCGCGCAAGAAACCCGTCAAGGTACCCTCCATAAATGTGATCTTAGACGGCAGATATTCAGCAAATGGTGGAGATTAGACATCAATCCTAACAGTCCTAAGATCAAAGCTACTCCCCTTCAGTATTGAGTAGATCAGAAAACATGCAGTGTGATACTTTAGTCAATATTCTTCTTGGAACCTTTGGGAGCTGCCATTCCTGGGGATGTTACTTTGACATGTGCTACAAACATGAGCGTTGTTGAAGGTCATGTTCATTAGTGGTGCAGATTCCCAGTCAATCCTAAGTGCTTAAACAGAAGGTAACTTGACTTCTAATCTTTTTTGACCCTTTATTTTCCATCTAAAAAGGTGTCTTTATTTCTGATAATGGGTTAAGAATGTTCCCTCCCCCCCCCAAGTAACATTAACCTGGGTTGCAAAAGCCTGTTTTTCAGTACACTGTCTGATCCCAGTCTGATCCCATTAGCTCAGTACGTTCTGGTTCCCCTGATAACCGGTGGACTTGGGCCACAGTTAAGACTAGAAGAAGACTAAAAGGTTATGAGATCAAAAATAACCTTCATCCATTGCAGTGCTATTCGGTTTTGATCCTCATTTGGCCTCTGTTGTCACTTGAGACCTTGCAGACGCTGCCCTTCACTGCTTCCCTATGATCCTATTGTGATCAGTTTATGGTCATACTGAGCCACATCCACTGGACCTTTTTCCACCAGAGCTGGAGCAATTTCTGAGCTGCCAAGTGATCCTAACAAGGGTACTGTCAGTTTCTGAAGTTCTTACTTTTGGCCATTTCTTTCCTTCTCGCGCATTAATTTCAAGGGCAGTGAGTTCACTTTCTCCCAGATATATCCTGTCCATTACCAGGAGCCATGATAATGAGAAAATCAATGTTTTTTCACTGAATGTGTCTCTGGTCAGAATGTTATGGCCATGTAATGCATAATCAGTAAAAACTAGAAATCATTGTAGTGTGTTGTAGTGAAAACTACGATACAGTAAAAAGATTTTCTGGAATTCCTTTTTACTTTTTTAACCTTGGAGACATTTTAAAAAAAAATCATCTTGCAGTTGCTCACTGCGTATTCTCCAGCTTATCAATAAAATAAAATATTGCTGCATTGCCACCGTGATGAAGCATAGACTAATGATGCCATTATCTGCAATACAGATAATAAAATTTCAATGATAGTTTAAGCTGTCTGCACAAAGGCCAGGCTTTTGTTATGAAAAATTATGTCTCATAAAACAAATTACTAAAATCAACTTACACCAATCTACATCTTTACTCAATATGAGTTTGTATGCATCAATACATCACTTTCCAGTGCATTTAAAATTGCACTGGGGTAAAATAATTTATTTGTCTCAATGAATAAAATTACCTCCTCGGTCGGAAAGGGCTGTTGTGTGTGTGTTTTTTTTTTGTTTTTTTTTTGGATGGTGATTATGGGTTGCCAAATATAGATTTGTTCACCAAATAAGTTGTCGTTATGAATCCCTATTAGAACAGTTTTCTAATATTTTTGGAATACACTCACCGCTAAAAGTGTGGTCAATTAGATCCCCTGTTTATGTTACTGAATTGCCACTTAAATGCCACTAGCTTATTAGTTTCTCTCACACCCTCCCGTGGTATTTTCTGCTGCTGGCGATTGATGGTTGCCAGTAGAATGTAGTTCAACTTTCACAAATTTCCCTTGCATTTGTTTGACACAGGTGCAGCTATATTGTCAGTCCTGTGGGAAATTATGATTTTTGCCTCTCAGCAGCTTGTTATTTTGCATAGCTGAAATGATAAAAGATAATGCAGATAATGAAGGATATAAAAATAACTGGGGCAGACAGTGACTTTCAGAAGTTTCTTTCTTCAGTCAGCCCGCATGATGTAAGACGACGTTAAGGCTTTGAAGAGCCAAAGCAGTGACAGGTTGACAGCTTTTTTCATGACCTTTGACACGTCTGTCATTCCAGGTGTCCAATCAGCTGGAGTTTCTCTCTCACTTTTTGCTTTTTCCCATATTTGTTCCTGTCACTTTTCCGCTCCTTTCTGTTCCGAGGCTTTGATTTACTTTGACACAGGTGTTCATTTTAGTATTTTCACCTTGGAGCAAATCAGTGTTTTTGACCCAGGAGATCGGAGTTCCCACATTATCAGATTCTCCCTCCAGATGAGTCCAGCAGATGCAGCAAGCCTTTGAAAACAGCAAGAGTGAAATAACTTGTACAGGTTACTGAACTCAGAAGTGAATTGTTGGTTTCCTGATTACTCAGGTGTATAGTGGAATAACAAAAATAAACCTTGAACATTTTTCTGGATATTTGTGTCATCAGTGGATGATGGCATGAATGGTTTATTCATATTTTTTACCGTAGTAGCATTATTTAATTATGTTTTAATTACCCTGACACCTGAATAATATCGTTGTCTCATGTATTCACACCTTTACAAACAATTGCACCAAGACACATTTCCCCTGTGTCTTAAGACCTGAAGAGGAGTGATTATTCTGGTATGAGTGATTATTCTGATGCAGTGACTGGTATTAGGGAGAGATGTGATTGGAACCTGTTTTATCCAAGTACTATTGGAAACATAAACTATGTAGTCCTACACTCCTCCTATGGCTTAAAAATATAACTTCACTATTTGGTATGCCAAGATAGCTTCTATGAAAGAAAGATTAAATAAACAAATGGCAGCTTCAAATAAGTTTTGACTTTTATGCTCAATGCAGTCCTTTCAGTTAAGTAATGATCTTCGCTTTTAAAGTGAGGTCCCTCAATACATCAACTTGCCTTTATAGATTGCAGTTTCATTAAACAGAGTAAAATGTGTGCATAATGTTCCAGTTTATCTTTGCCTTTTTTATTTAAAAAAAGATTGTATTATAAAAATGAATGTGAAAACAAACAAAAGTTACACTGAAATTGATTGTGTGTGATTTGTTTATTATTTCACTATAGTTATATATGTAAATATTTTAACATTTGATTAAAAGGATATTTGAATAATCTCATTCATTGTTTCCAACTCAACTTGAGCAAATAGAAATAAAATCAAAACATGGCAGAAATATAAAGGGCGCTAAAGCTGCAACAGATTTTAAGACAAATTATTGAATAAAAAGGTTATAAAATTCTGTTATAAAAGAGTCCAATTGTTTTTGTTAATGAATTAAGACCCAGTGATTGTCAAACACATAAATATGGAAATTTCCTTAACATTTTAAAACATTTTATCATAAACAAACTAAGTTTTCATTATTGAACGAACATAAAATACACCAGTATTTCATTCAGTATCTTGATTCAATAAAACAAATGTCATATTACAGTCTTCTTTCTGGTGTGTCCAGCCAGCCACATAATTTTGCTTTTATGTGTTCGAGCACTTTGGAGAGCTGTTGTTCCTGGGAGTATATTCAGTTTATATAACTAATCCACACAGTGCGCTATAGGCACTAACGATATGTTTCTGCTTCATAAAATGCTCTCAGGAAAAGAGCTAATGGCAGCAGCTGTTTACGGTTAAGTCCATAGAAACGCCATTTGTGTAAGCCTGCATTTTAGATGGACAATCTTTCACACTGTTTGTGCATCTGCTGTTTTGTAATCTGATTGTAAGACTGTTGCAGGTAAACAGTAATAGTGGAAACATTTAAGCCATTTCCTATAAATCCCATGTTGTTTTTCCCCTTCATGCTGAATGTAAAGCATACTTGTCCAGCTATCCTTAGCTCAGGTTGCACTGTGAGTAGCTCTAATCTCCCCCCTGTCACCTCAGCCCCTTCAACACATTAATTAGTCTGCATTTTGAACCAAACTGTGGCTTCTCCCATCAGCAGCCCATTCCAGAGGCAATCTCTCCATCGCCACGAGAGGCTTTTCATTAAGGCAGCCTGAGGCGCTTTATCACTCACACAGCGACTCCTCTCGTTCTCCTCCGTCACCTTCCCTCTTTCTATCTCACTCGGCTCACCCCTCCTCATTCTCCATCTCCTTCATCATTGCACCCTCGAGTCAGAAAGGCAGAGGGAAGCCGAGGCAGCGGCCTTTCTTTGGCGCAGTGTGAAAAGCCAAGATTAAAGAACTGGTTGGTGTGTGACATGACGGTGCAGGCTGGAGGTCACACAGGTCATAGTTGATCCCCCAGCAAATTTTCCTTCTAAATCTCATATGTAATGTACAATGCACATATCACTCTATAGGCAGTGTGGAATGTTTCCAGCAGAATTGCATTTAAAGAAACACAAAGATTTTCCACATTTCTACAAAAGTGTGAGATCTGATTGAAAAAGTATAAGTAAGAATGGTTTCATTTCCTGGTACTGGTTAAAGTTGGGTGGATGAAAACAAGTGTTCAGCCACATCATCATCATCATCATC